CTTCCGGTTTGAGGGATTTCATTTAACTTCCTGGTGTGGCTATCAGACTTAAGGTGATGGGAAATGTCCCCAATGGGGCACAGATGTCAAGAAAAAGCTGACAGGGTTTATAACCCTCCCTTACGCTGCCTAAAATAACAAAAGTTTTACATTGAAGTGGCTGCCGTAAGATCCCATGCTGAGATTTGTAGTCCTCTATAACTGATGGTATTCTGTATTGCTGTAAAATGTATAGCTGGGATTTGTAGTCCTCTATAACTGATGGTATTCTCTATTGCTGTATAATGTATTGCTGGCATTTGTAGTCCTCTATAGCTGATAGTATTATTCTGCATTGCTGTATAATGGTATAGCTGGGATTTGTAGGCCTCTATAACTGATGGTATTCTCTATTGCTGTATAATGTATTGCTGGCATTTGTAGTCCTCTATAGCTGATAGTATTATTCTGCATTGCTGTATAATGGTATAGCTGGGATTTGTAGGCCTCTATAACTGATGGTATTCTCTATTGCTGTATAATGTATTGCTGGCATTTGTAGTCCTCTATAGCTGATGGTATTATTCTACATTGCTGTATAATGCATTGCTGAGATTTGTAGTCTTCTATAGCTGATGCTATTATTCTGCATTGCTATGTAATGTATTGCTGAGATTTGTAGTCCTCTATAGCTGATGGTATTATTCTGCATTGCTGTATAATGTATTGCTGGCATTTGTAGTCCTCTATAGCTGATGGTATTATTCTGCATTGCTGTATAATGTATTGCTGGCATTTGTAGTCCTCTATAGCTGATGGTATTATTCTGCATTGCTGTATATCTTATTGCTGGGATTTGTAGTCCTCTATAGTTGGTGATATCCTGCATTGCTATATAATGAATTGCTGAGATTTGTAATCTCTCTACAGCTTGGGGTCAGTGGCAGAACTACCAGGGTCTCAGCGATTGCAGCTGTGACAAGGCCCTGGGGCTCCACCTCTGTCCTAAAATCATTGGTCTGTATTGTTTTAGAAAAACTGTCACATGACACTAAAAAAAGGTATCGGTGCATCACTTACAGTACACACAACACAAAAAGATGAATGATTAATTTGGATATTTAGAAAGAATGGAAAAGACGATAAAAGGTTAAAATGACAAAATAGAAGGTAGAGGAAATGTCCTCGGCAGGCCAATGCAAATATACAGAGATGATGCCATGTAACACTTGGATGTGACAGAGTATCTCCTGGAACAGGAAGTCAATTGAAAAGTCCTCCAATGGGACACAAACGTCAATGAAAACCTGACACCGGTTCTAAGAATTCCTCGTTCTATCCAAAACTATGAAAAAAACATTCTTGGCTGGTTTTGACTATCAGCCCACCACTAGTGAAGGACACAAGTGCACTTTGTATTCTCCTCGGGGTTTGTGTGTGAGATTTATGAGCTCTGACTGTTGCGGCTGAGTCTGGAAACCTGTTAATGATCTTTTACTAAAAAAAGAAAACATGGAGATTTGCTGACAAGGTATAACAGGAAAAGAGAAGGCTTCTCTGAGCAGCTCGAGGGGGGGAAGTGGCTTTGTGCTCACAGCAGCTGTTCTGGAGATTTTACTCCATGGCGCTGCTCCCAATTCCAGCTTTGGAAAGGACCCCGGGGCATTTGGCAGAGGAAAGCTGTGGTGGATCACACAGTAAGAGACTGTCCATTCACAAAATGGAAAGTGATTGATTCCTCAATACGTGTGTACATAGAGAACCCTGCTGAATGTTCCGATACCATGTTCTGTTCTTTCCACGAAAACTATTTGTAACGCGGGATGGAACTCTGTTCACTGGGTAGTGGTATCAGATTGGAGTACTAACAAATTCAAAAAACTTCTAGATGTCTTCCTCCCTGAACAACATTTACAAGGATAGGCATACTATTAAAAAAAAACGAATTGTCACACACTCAAACCAACACACCTGAACCCTCATAGTTATTAGTGGTCAGTGGAAGGAGGTCCCCCTTATATAGGTGTTTAGTGGTAGAATGGTCCTCTTATACTGGTAGTCAGAAGAAGAAGATCCGATTTTCATTGGTAGTCAGTAGCAAACCCCCTTACTTTGATGGTCAGTGGAGAAGGACCCCTTTACATTGGTCGTCCATTAGCAGCCAGTGAAGAAAGGCACCTTACATTGGTGGGCAGTAGAAGAAAGGTCACCATACATTGTTATGAATCAGAGTAGGCAACCTTAAATTGGCGGTTAGTGGAGAAGGCTTTCCTTACATTGGTGATCAGTGGAAAAAGCCCCCCCACCATTGCTTTTAAGTAGGAGAAGGGCCTCCTCCTTACATTGGTGTTTGGTGGAAGAACGGCCAACTAACATTGGTATCAGTAGAAGGTCGGTTTCCACCTTACATTGGTGGTCAGTGGAGATAAGCCACCGTATATTGGTATCAATTGGAGCAGGGCCACCTTACATTGGTGGTTAGTGGAGAAAGCTTTCTTGTATTGGTGGTCAGTGGAAAAGAACCCTCTCACATTGGTTGTCATGTGGAGAAGAGCCTTCTTACATTTGGTATCAGTGGGAGCACAGTGGCGTAGTGGTCAGCGCTTCTGCCTTGCAGCACTGGGGGTCCCTTGTTTGAATCTTGGCCAGGTCACTACCTGCAAGGAGTTTGCATGTTCCTGTGCTTGTGTGGGTTTCCTCCCACACTCCAAAGACATGCTGGAAGGTTAATTGGCTCCTGTCTAAATTGGCCCTGTATGTGAGATAGAGACCTTAGATTGTAAGCTCCTTGAGGTCAGGGACTGATGTGAATGTGCAACTATCTAAAGTGCTGCATAAATTGTTGGTGCTATATAAATACCTGTAATAAATAATAAATGTCACCTTACATTGGTGGTCAGTGGAGAATGTCACTTTACATTGGTGGTCAGTGGAGAATGTCACCTTACATTGGTGGTCAGTGGAGAATGTCACTTTACATTGGTGGTCAGTGGAGAATGTCACTTTACATTGGTGGTCAGTAAAGATAAGCCAGCTTCCATTAGTATTAGAGGGAGTTGGGGCCCCTTAGAATGGTAGTCAATAGTTACTTATCTTGAGCAGGACCTGTGGAGAAGATGATGATGGTACTACTGTCTCTAAGGGATGATGGTACCAAGCTATATAAATACCTGTAATAAATAATAAATGTCACCTTACATTGGTGGTCAGTGGAGAATGTCACTTTACATTGGTGGTCAGTGGAGAATGTCACCTTACATTGGTGGTCAGTGGAGAATGTCACTTTACATTGGTGGTCAGTAAAGATAAGCCAGCTTCCATTAGTATTAGAGGGAGTTGGGGCCCCTTAGAATGGTAGTCAATAGTTACTTATCTTGAGCAGGACCTGTGGAGAAGATGATGATGGTACTACTGTCTCTAAGGGATGATGGTACCAGAACTAGATATGCACCAATGGGAACAAGGTCTGTCGACCCAAAGAGCAAGCCCTGAGTCCTGAAACTGGAAAAGGTTTACTGAACGTGCCAGGGCAGCATCTAGCCCCTGAGATCCCAGGGTCTATTACAAGCAGGAGTGGCCTCTTTCATTCTTTAATAGGTCATTAGACAACTGAGGTCCTATGAAACACAGCAGATCCCACACTATTACTTGGTGAATTGAGCTAGGAATAGCAAGGGATTCTGCGAGATCCATTTTTACAAGTCAATATCACGAAAAGGCCTGTGTGATTTATGGACATGGCTGCCTTAGCAGGACCAGAAATGAAATCTTTTACAGACTGTCACACCAGAACAAGACACCTCTTGTAGAAGGTCAGATTTTACAGTAAAACACCTAATTTATAATCTCAGATGTCCAACACACATTATCCAAAGAGCTACACTGCGGCCTCCAGACAGTCTCTGCACTCAGAAAATTATTTCCAGCCGCCTGTTCTGATTTATGGTCATGAAGACTTCATGTGAACAGATTCAAATAGGATGTTCAAAGCACAGAAACTCATAGCAACCAATCGGACATTTACAGGCAGAAGAACAGCAATCAGGTCAAATCAGGAAGTAGAGGGTATGCCAGGTGCACCCTGAATACTTCAATAAAGTTTTTTGGGCCATACATTGCATGCCGAATATCCACGACTAGTTAAACCTGTGCCCAGACTGTGGACATTCAAGTATTGTCATATCCGTCACAAGCAGTATATGAGCCTATAGACCGGGATCAGACCTTTGTGCTGAATTAATATGTTATAACAGTGGCGGACCTAAGGGGCAAAGGGCCCTGGTGCAAGATTTTTTTCTCAGCCCCCCCCCCCCTCCTGCTCCCAAGGGGGGGGGGGTGCCGGAACTGGATTTCACTGGCCCCCCAACTCCCCCAGCTGTCTCTGCACTAAAGGAGCTTACACTCTAATGCCCCCCCATAGTCACACTGTTATTATACATCCATATAACTCTGACATATACTGTAGTACTGTACAGAGAACACTGAGCCAGTCACATCAGTCCATGTACAGAGGAGCTTACACTCTAACGCAGAATGCCATCATCTGTAGAGGACTACTAATCCCAGCAATACACTATAAAGCAATGCAGAATAATAGTATATGAATTTGGTAAATACTCTGTTCTGCCTCTCTGCTCTGGAATGTCTTTTTCAGAGGGTCTCAGGAGGGGTGCAGAGGGCCTCAGGAGGGGTACAGAGGGTCTCGGGAGGGGGAGATGTGAGGGCGGCAAATGCGCTGTAAGCAGGTGTCGGGTGGTTCAACAGAAGGCTGCTGCGAAGGACCTAACGCAGCTAAATCAATTTTAAAAATGTAATTTCCAAGCTGCAGGGGTTAGTTGTAAGGCAGAGCACAGAGGTCAGCGGTGTAGTGCAGAGTGCAAAGGTCAGGGTGTGACGCACAGTGCAGAGTACAGGGTGTGACGCACATTGCAGAGGTCAGGGTGTGACGCACAGTGCAGAGGTCAGGGTGTGACGCAGAGTGGAGAGGTCAGGGTGTGACACAGAGTGCAGAGGTCAGGGTATGACGCAGAGTGCAGAGGTCAGGGTATGACGCAGAGTGCAGAGGACAGGGTGTGACACACAGTGCAGAGGACATGGTGTGACCCACAGTGCAGAGGACATGGTGTGACGCATAGCTCCGTGTGTGACCCAGAAGTCAGGGTATGACGCAGAGTGCAGACCTCAGGGTGTGACGTAGAGTGCAGAGATCAGGGAGTGACACAGAGCTCAGGGTGTGACGCACTGTGCAGTGGTCAGGGTGTGACGCACAGTGCAGAGGTAAGGGTGTGACCCAGAGGTCAGAGTATCGCGCAGAGTGCAGAGGTCAAGGTGTGACGCACAGTGCAGAGGTCAGGGTGTGATGCAGAGTGCAGAGGTCAGGGTGTGACACAGAGGTCAGGGTGTGACGGAGAAAAAACAAGAACTTACAGGTGCTCTGCCCTCTTTCTCTCCAGGTGGTGGTGGTGGTGGGGGGAGTGCAGCCATATTTCTAACGTCTCCTGTGATGAATCCTTCAGCCGCCTCCTTGTGTCTTCTCCTCAGGACCCGCTCTCCTGTAGTCTCCAGTCAGCCACCTGCAGTCTTCCTCCTGTAGCAGCTAAAGTGGGAGGAGGAAGCTGCAGGTGGGCGCCGACAGACCGATCACTGAAGCAGGCACACAGTAGTGACAGCTGAACGGATTCTTCTCCCCTCTGCCCCTCTGTGGCTGCAGCAGCTGAGGAGGAAAGAATCTGTACAGCTATCACTACTCTGTGCCGGTTTCAGTGATCGAGAGCGGTGATCACTCTTCTGAGCTCTCTCATCTAAATGAGAGGAGAGCGCAGAGAAGAGTGATCTCCGTGGCCGTTTTTAGGGGTATCCGCTCAGTCCCCCTTCCAGTGTTCCTCCCAACAGAGTGGAAGTTGGGGACCGGACCTCAGTGGGCCCCCTAACCACCTTGGGCCATGGGGCGGCCGCACCGGCTTCAACGCCGGTAGTTCCGACCCTGTGTTACAACAATGCACCATGCATGCGTTAAGCTGGCCATATATAGGTTGAATGTCATCCGAGTCCTGCTGACTCAGCCAAAATGTGACCAGTGTGTGCCCCCCCCCCCCCCCCCCCCCGCAGTCAGTGGCAGCAGCGTGGGATGCTTCTGAGATCATTCAGATTTCATTGATAGGTACACTTGAGAGATCCTAGCGGGATTCGTGAGCGTTGTTTTGGCGGTGGGAGAGAACGGCGTCAGTCACGGCCGTCCCCTTTGATCTCCTCTTCCTCTGGATTGTTTTCCCGGGAGCTGCATTCGGGAACAGACGCCCTCACATGTCATTGTGTGTTAGACCTCCGTGTGCACCGTGTCATTAAACACGACCCCCTGATGGGGGGATGGATTTTAATTGCTGCGCTAAAAAAATAGAGGCCTTTTCTATCTCAGCGAAAACAACAACATGGAATCTCCGGCTTTGTCTGCAGACCGCAGGGGGGGGGAGGAATGAGATGAGTTCACATGCTCTTCCTTGTGTTTTTTGTCACAGGAAGGTAAAGAAGGGGTCCGCCGCATGACCCCCCAATAGGATTTAAGGGGGAACTCTACCTCTATCTAGAAAGAACTAACTTCCCCATATACAGATTATATGTAAATAATTAAAACTGAAGTTGAATCTGATATTTTGCCTTCCCTGGTTCCTCCCTTATTAACATGCTGATGACACTTTTCATTAAAGACCTGATTTTAATCCCGATGACATCATCACTGGGTCTCTGTGCTGCTATGCAATGCAGAGAGACCATTGCTTGTGGGAGGGGCTGGTACATAGATTCCTGAAAACACTAACAGCACCCTGCCTCAGTACTCTCTCAAGAGTCCTCAACTCTGACGCAAGGAGTGGGCCGGCTCTTGGGAGGAGTTATGCAAATGATCAAATGCATTGATAGGCGGGTTTTGGACTGGAGGAGTGGGCGTTCCTAGGCAGGCTGTATTTGCATGCAGACCACCCTAGGTAACACCCACGTGATTGACAGGACCTTCCTTCATGATTGAAAGAACTGAAATCCAATGAATGAAAGGGGCGGGTCATGGGCAGTCAGACTGGGGAGGATAGGCTAGATGATGTCAGGTGTCCTCCAGGAAGGAAATGAGGCGGGCTCTATCAGCTTCTAATGCACATTGTGAGAAGCTCAGTGGTTGCAGTCAGTCTGGCGACCTGAATCACGTCCAATCACAGTCCAGTATATTTGTGAATTCATTGCCACTATTCCAGCCCTGATGAAGGGGTGGGCTCCCGAAATGCGTTGGAATTTTGGCCACAAATACATTTTTACTGGATGCATTCAAGTCTTGAGGCGCTCATCTTTTTGTATGCACTCCAGACTATTCAATGGAGACCCGAGGTTGACAGGGAGCTGCCTCCAAAAGTTGGACTCCTGTCTGCTACCCCCCTACCCCGGGGTCCATATATCCAGCACATATGTATATATATATACATATATCCTGTTGAACTTTAAGGGAAACGTCAGAGAACTGCAGATAAAGTTGGGCATGTTGACAGAAGCCATGCTATGTTGCACGCACTGCAGACCTCCCTTGGAGTGGCACAGCAGCCATTGAGGGCCTTGACCCCTCTCCCTGTCATTGTGAACAAAGTAATCAAGATACAAAGAGAGAGGAAATCCCAAATTTTACAGATGTCATCAGAACAGGAATAGAGAAGAGGGGGATTATTCAATGGTGACACCTGTCAAAGGTGGGATTTCCACCCTACGTTGGGAAGAGTTACTGTACATCACTTCCTGTTGTGTCTCTGAGGCAAAGGGAAATCTCCTCAATGGGGACACAGACTTACATACATCGATCAGCCGTAAAATTATGACCACCCTCCCAATATTGAGTAGGTCCCCTTTCCCTGACCCGTCCAGGCATGGACTCCACTAGACCTCTGAAGGTGTGCTGTGGTATCTGGCACCAAGAAGTCAGTAGCAGATCCTTTAAGTCCTGTAAGTTGTGAGGTGATCGGCCTCCATGGACCGGACTTGTTTTTCCAGCACATCCCACAGATAATTGGATTGAGATCTGGAGAATTTGATGGCCAAGTCATCACCTCAAACTCATTGTTGTGTTCCTCAAACCATTCTTGGACCTTGTTTGCAGTGTGGCAGGGCGCATTATCCTGCGGAAAGAAGCCAATGCTATCAGGGTATACATTTTCCATGAAGGGGTGTACTTGGTCAGTAACAATGTTTAGGTCGGTTTTACGTGTCAAAGTAACATCCACATGAAGGGCAGGACCGGAGGTTTCCAGCAGAACATTGGCCAAAGCATAACACTGCCTCCACCGGCTTGTCTTCTTCCCATAGTACATCCTGGTGCCATCTCTTCCCCAGGTAAGTGACAGACCCGGCCATCCACATGATGTAAAAGAAAAACCGTGATTCATTAGACCAGGCCACCTTCTTCCATTGCTCTGTGGTCCAGTTCTCATGCTCACGTGTCCATTGTAGGCGTTTTTGGCAGTGGATATGGGTCAGCCTAGGCACCCTGACACAGCCCCATACACAACAAACTATGATGCTCTGTGTGTCCAGACACCTTTCTATCAGAACCAACATGAACGTCTTCAGTAATTTGAGCTCCAGTAGTTCTTCTATTGGATTGGACTACACGGGCCAGACTTCCCTCCCTACGTCCATCAATGAGCCTTGGCCACACATGACCCTGTCGGTTTTCCTTCCTTGGACCACTTTTCATCGGTCCTGACCACTGCAGACCGGGAACATCCCACAAGAGATGCAGTGTTGGAGTTGCTCTGACCGAGTCGTCTAGACATCACAATTTGGTCCTCGTCAAAGTCCCTCAAATCCTCACAAACCCCGCTACGGCCTTCAGCCATTTCCAGCCGTGTCTGTTGGCCGGATGTTTCCAGTCTCTCTCTGCCTCACATCCCATCTATTGCTATAGCGTGTCCCCTCTCAGGTTCTGCGGAATGACATTCTCAGTAAGTGATCCATGAATAATGGAAAGATATTAATGGACAGCGTTCCCTGGGCGCTCCGACCACTCTCAGCGCAGGTAGGTAGTTCGAGCTCCTTAGAATACCAAATTCCGTATTGATCTGACGTCTGATGCCTCTGATGGGCCTGGAATGGAGAGATCTGCGGCAGACTGCGCCCACTCCCCTAATACATAATTCATTGACGGCGTCCAGCCTTCTAATGCTTCTCCACATTCACCATGGAGGGAGATCAGAGCAGTCATTAGACCCATTTAACCCGGCCACTTGTAATTCATTAAATCATTTGATTGGTGGGGTTATGCCATTGATGGGCCATTAGTCTGGGCGTGCTTATTGTTAGCGTGTGTCTGTCTGCTGTGCAATGTTTGTATGTGCGCACGTGTGTGGGTCTATAGAGGCAACCTTGCAAGGACGTATGCAGGGCTGGATTTCCCACAAGGCCAACCAAGGCCCGGCCTTGAGACAGCAGGGAGTAGAGGGGCAGCATGGGTGTGGAATTCCTATATCCTGATGCCCGGGACATGCAGTTCCAGGCGCCGGGCGTGTAGTTGTTTTCTACATTCAGCCCGGCTTTTGGCAAGCAGAGCTCAATGTACAGCGATGAAGCCGCCACCTGTCATGTACAAGTGATCCCGGCAATGTCACCGAGATCACTTGTATGCAGCCTGCAGGTCTCTGCCATTCTCCATGGGGGTGGCGACGGGTAGGGGGGGTAGGGGGCGCATTGAGGAACCAGGCCCTGCAGCAGCAGAGAGAGTAAATCCGGCCCTGGATCCATGCACAAAGCTTGCTCACTGAGTCACAAAGCGTATTCACGGAGTCACGCAGCTTGTTCACGGAGTCACGCAGCTTGTTCACGGACGTTGAGGTTGGGGTCTGCATGTATCCGGCGTGCAGCCGCATCCTCCCATAGGGAAGTACAGGCGGCTGCACGCAATCGAATGCAGCACCTGTCCCTCCCAGGAGCGTGTCTCTCCACGGGCGTGCACGCTGAGAAGGGCCGGATTTCTCACAAGGTTCAAAAAAAGGGAACCGGTCACCTCCAAATGCCATCACACAGGGGCTTGTTTGCTCCTGTGTGACAGCAATAAAGTGGAAAAAAACATTTATAAAAATGTTTTTATATAAATAAATAAGTAAAAAATAATAAAAAAGTATGTTGCATGTTCTAGAACAGGGGTGCCCATTAGGTCGATCGCAAAGCGAACACTGGTAGATCCAGGCCCGGCCTCGGGGCGGCACGTAGCAGAGGGGCGGCAGCGCCGTGGAGTCCCCCGATGCCCGGAACATGTAGTTCCCGGCGGTAAGAGGGGCGGCAGGGAGAGCAAATCCGGCCATGGGTAGATCCCAATCGGCTGTGTCCTGTGGGGCAGAGAAAGTGAGAGAACAGACAG